CTCTTAGCTACTTCCTGCTGAAAAGGGACGCTGTGGGTTTCAGGGTGAAGATCTTCTCTCACTACTCTAAAGGGCCCCTTTGGCAGTAGGAAACACACAGACTATTATGGAGATTGATTTTGGAATTTAGATGCACTCTTATTGATTGTGCTTGGCTGTACATGTTCATATCCTTGAAGATGTATGATCATGGCACTTAAGTATCTTTTTTGCCTTGTTAATTCTTTCCCTCATTGGTTCACAGGCTCCCTCTGTCCTGTTCCCTTCTATAGAGGCTGTAACTTTTTTACTGTTAAAAAATATTTTCTCTAATGAGCTGTAACATTAAGGGAAACATTGTACAAATCAAATTAAGACAACCCAGTTCTCCCCATCCAAAGTTACAGAGAAGTCACTACATGCCAAAACCCAGGAATCCTGCATTTAGAAATATTTCCATGCACAACAAAAACAGTCTTCCAAGTATCCTGAAAAATCTACAACTAGGAGAAGATAAAATAGATGAATGGGACCTTCTAAGAATCAAATCCCTATGGACATCCAGAAACTTCTCCACAGACTGGGGAAAAGCATTTGGTAATGACATGCCAGATAAGGGACTTATATCTAGAATTTATAAAATACTTAAGTACCACAACAAGATAAAGGTAAATAATCCAATTGAAAAATGGGCACAAGATATGAACAGACACTTCACCAAAGACATTCAGATAGCCAACAAGCACATGAAGCAATGTTCAAAATCCCTAGCTCTAAGAGAGATGCAAATCAAAACAACTATGGGATATCATCTCACCCCAGTAAGAATAGCAAAATTTAGTAGAATAGCAAGCAACAAATGCTGGCGAGGTTATGGAGAAACTTGAACCCTCATTCACTGTTGGTGGAAGTGTAAGATGGTGCAACCACTGTGGAAAGTGGTACGGTGCTTTCTCAAAAAATTGCAAATAGAGATACCATTTGACCCAACAATTCCACTACTGGGAATATACTCTAAAGAGACCATAACCAACATCCAAGCAGATATATGCACACCCATGTTTATCGCGGGTTTGTTCACAATAGCAAGGAGTTGGAAACAACCCAAGTGCCCATCAACAAGTGGACAGAGAAGCTGTGGTATATTCACACAATGGAATACTATGCTGCGTTGAAAAACAAGGAACTCATGCAATATTATTCAAAATGGGTGACCCTGGAGGACATTGTGCTGAGTGAAGTATTTCAGTCACAAAAGGACAAATGCTGCATGGTGCCACTGTTGTAGAAAGAGACGGATATCAGGGTTGGGGTAAGACTGAGAAAAACTGGATAAATTATGTATCTGGTAACCGGAGGACCCCCAAAGCTGCGTGCAACTGGGTTGGCCGTGGGAAGCTTAGCAGGGCAGAAGGCAGGCAAACGACAAGACACCTCAGTCGAGCAGCATTGAAACAGATGAGGGAGAGAACAGTTTAAAAGTGATATATGATAGCAATATCCCCTACTTTCAAGAACAAACTAAAATGAATTCCTGTCTCTGTCAATAAGAGGTTCCTCTTCAAGCTAAGGACTAAGCTTGAAAAAAGCACACACCTAGGCAGGGTGTATACTTTATACAGTATGTTGTTGTTGTTATGTACCGTTGAGTAGCTTGCAACTCACAGCGACCCTATGTACAACAGCCCTAAACTCTGCTCTGTCCTGTGCCAATCACCCCATCTCCGATACACCCATCCCGATTACCCCAGTCACTTAATCAATCCACCTCATAGAGGGCCTTCCCCTCCTGCGCTGTCCCTCCACCCTCTCAAGCATGATGTCCCTCACCAAGGACCGGTCCCTCCTTACAACATGTCCAAAGTATGTCAGAGAGTAAGCCCCAGAATCCTTGCCTCCAGGGAACCGCCCGGTTTAACACTTTTCAGGATGAATCTGTTTGTTTTCCTAGAGAAAATAATCTTTTATTAAGACGTATGAACGTATGTATGTCAAAAAGCATCTCACTGCTGTCGAGTTCCAACTCACAGGTGATCCTTCAAAGGGTTTTGTTGTGTGCTGTCGAGGTGGAACCTACAGAGAGCTGATGCTCCAGTGGGTTTTCAGAGGCAGTAAAGCACACTGGAGGAGACTGCCCTTTCTTCTCCCAAGGAGCAACTGGTTGATTCCAACTGTTTGTCTTTGGGGTTGCACCGCAGCTTCTTACCACCGGCCAACCAGAGTTCCCTCACAAAGGGTTTTAGAGGCTGTAAATCCAGTAGTATACCACTGCCTTTGGAGCACCTGGTAGATTTACTACGCACACACACACGCAGCTTTGGGGTTAGCTTTGGGGAAACTCGATACAGACTAGACCACCATGCTTCAGATAGCATGTTCCTGCTGTTGTTAGGCAGTGCCATCGAATGCACTATGGTTCATAGCGGCCCCATGAACCTTGCCCTAACCTGCATTATTCTCACGCCATCGTTACAGAATTACTATTTGGGAAATGAGGCCAGGTTGCCTGATTTTGAGCATTCTAGGTCCTTTTTCACTTCTATTGCGACTAAGCCTCTCCCCCTCTTCCACTGTTTTTACTTGACCATGGCTGTAGTAATTTGCAATGCACAATGGATTCCGCCTGGTCATCCTACCTAGGATATGACAAGCAACCCACTCTCACGCCCCCAAATTCTTCCTCTGCAGGTAATGGGCTAACGCAGCTCTAGGCGGCGACGCAACCGGCCCCGGCCAGCTGGCCCAGAGTAATCAAATAACTCGCTGGTGGCTGGGCCCCCGGGGTGGGGAGAAGCCTTTTGTAGTCGATCGGAGTCTTATTTTATTCCCACTGAGTCAAGGCTGCAAGTGGACGCGCCTGCAGGAGCCGCAGTGGTCTCCCACGCCCCGAAAATGCAGCCACCCTTTCCCTTCCAGCCGCGCTGAATTTACAAAACGCGTCCACAAGCCCCGTCAAATCTGACCCTCTCTACGCCTGGGCTGCTTCCAGGACAGCAGAGGAAAGGCTCTAGTTGACAGACCTCTGTCTCGTTCTGGAGGGACTAAGGGCCGCCCACGACACCAGTAAAGGAGAAAAGCTTTGTGGCCGAGAGCAGAGCAGGTGTGACGCCCACCTGGGCGGCGAGCCGGGCTGCCAGCTCCACGCAGCGGCCGCTTGGGATCACCGGGGTCCCCTTCCATCTCCGCCTCTCGCTCGGCCCCAGACCCCGCAGCGTCTCACGCCCTCGCTCAAGCTCACCGTTCGATCGCGCCAGACAGCATCTGGACAGGACCGAAAAGCTCCACGTTCCCCACCGCCGTCCAGGTTCTGGGACCCAGGCTACGATACGATGGAAGAGGCGACGGCCAGCAGCAGGCCTGCGGGCTTCAGGGAAAGGAAAATCCGTCCCCCTCCCAGTCAAGAAGCTAACATTCCCCGTGAGCGGAGCGCCGCCCGCTTCCGCTCCTCGCCCCGCCGCCGTGGGCAGTGGCGCCTCGCAGCAGCCGCGGGGGCTTGTGGGTATCTGGGAGTCCGGCAAAGCTGCAGGGGAAGGAAGTGGGACCGATCCAGTGCGACCGCAAGATAGGGCGTGAACTACAATTCCCAAGAGGCAGCGGGGCAGCCGGCTGCCCGAGAGAGCGGGCTGCGCTGTGCGCGCGCGGCGGCGTTGGGACGTTGCTGCAGTTCGCGGGTCTAGTTACGCGGGGAGAGCGCTCAGCGCCGGGGGTGGCCACGCGCCGGAGCGGGAATCTCAAACCCTGGAGGTCCAAACTAATGCGTGTGCTTAAAGCTGGGTTGATGGACGCCATGCACAGGTAAACCTACTGCAAAAACAAGGTGCAGAGTATGAATGGAATGTCGTCTTTTAGGCCATGGGTGTGCTCCTTGTTAACATCTTCGCAAAGGTTGTATTATTTCTATGAATGATTGTTTAGCCTCTTTTGGGAGGGGGGAGATGTGGATGGATGCTTTGTGCAGTGATCAGCGTGGGGTTTTATTTGGCATTCTTTGTAGGGTTTACCAGAAAGGGGCTTCCATCACTGGATGGTTGCCTGCCTGCCTGCCTTGTCCTCTCCTCTGCAGGAAATTCCTGAGGCCTTCCTCCAGGGTCGAAAAGCAGAACCCTTCCAGTTTTCTCTTTTCTTGGGAATTTTCTACTGGCGCATACAGATAAAATTTTGTTAGCAGCTTCGGAAGTCTTTTCTTGGATGCATAAACTCCAGCGTCTTTTATGCTTACCTTGGCAGTATTTTGGAGCCCTGGTGCCACAGGGTGTTAAGCACTGGGCTGTTAACTAGAAGGTTAGCATTTCGAGCCCACGGTCTCTCTATGGGAGATAAACAGCTTCCTTAAAGATGTACAGCCTTGGAAACCCCTTGGGGCAGTACTCCCCTGTCACAGAGTGTCCCTATGAGTTGGAATCTATGGCACTGGGTTAAATTGGGGTTTTGGCATTATACGGATGAATTCTTGAAAGGAAAGGGGGTATTGTGCATTTCTACAGGAAACACCTCCAGGAAATACCAGACCAGAGTAGCAACGTTACCACGAACTTCACGTGGGGATGGGACTCAAACAAGACTTCTGAACTGCTCTCAGGCATGGGGGTCTCTGCCCTGGAAAAGGAGGAGGTGGACAGTGAGAATATCCCCCAGGAACTGCTCTCGAGCCTGAGTCAGCCTCAGAGTCCCCCACGAAAGCGGCTGAAAGGGAAAGGGAATGACAAGGAATTTGTGATTGTTCGAAGAACCAAGTTAAATCGAGAGAACTATTCAGGTAAGGTATGCAGGTAAAACTGGCCAGCACAGAATATGGGTCAGTGGAGTAGTGGGCTCGGCTAGATGGACCCCATTCCCATTGCCACCTTTGTTCAGGGCCCTTGAGGCTGTATTCTTATTTAAAGTTGCTGAATTTTAAACTCTGTTGGGCATAATGACTGAAACAATAGGCTCACACAGAGCAGTGATTCTGAGGATTCTGAGGTTGTGGAAGAGCAAGCATTGTTTTGTTCTGCTGTGTGGATTGTTGCTGTTAGTCTGAGCCAAGGCCAAAAACAATTTTGAAATTGTTTTCTGAAATGATTAATGCTTGAAGTAATTATCTTTGAACCCTACAGGAATCTTTATGGGTATCTGTTCCCTGGTGTGTAATGGACTTGAAAAATCTTAACACGTGACAGTATATTTCTGCCCTATTCCTTAGAAAGACTCTTCTTCCTGAAAGGCATGGAGTAGCCAGCCAGCTTAGTGTAGCTAAGCTTCTTCCAGGATTCTTTTCCCATTAAGCCCTGAAGGGGTTTCCCCAGGTGTTTATGCATATGTTGCTAAAATATTTGAATAAACTCAGTTGAGGAGACTTCTGTCTCTCTCTCTCAGGCCTACTCCCAAATGTTCTCCTGCTGGTATTTTTTTTTTTTTTTCACTTTTGAAAGTAGTTCTGTTTGTTCAATCACCCAAGTCAAAAACCTGAGAATAATCTAGATTCCTACCATCCTCCAGTCTGTTTTAGAGAAAGTGCAACCAGGTGCTCCTTAGAGACAGGGATGGTGAGACTGTCTCACATACTTTGGTCATGTTATTAGGAGGGGCTTGTCTTGGCTGAGAAAGGTAGAAGTCAGAGAAAGAGAGGAAGACCTTAAACAAAATGGATTGACACAGTGACTTAACAGTAGGCTCAGGTATATCAGAGATTGTGAGGCTGGACAGGATACAGTAAGGTCCCTGGGTTTGAATAAGACCAGGTCCTAAGTGAGTATATATGAATTTGTAGGTGAGTTGGAAGATGTGCTTATGGTTCATCTTTAGCATTACTTGAGTGCAAGAAAGGTACTCTGATGGTGTAGTGCCTTTCCTCTTGTGCTAACTTAAAGGTCACTAGTTCAAATTTCCCAACTGCTCCATGGAAGAGAGATTAGCAGTCTCCTGTCATAAAGATTTATAGCCTGGGAAGCCAATTGAGGGATGCTTATGTATTGAAATCAACTTGATGGCAGTAGGTTTTTGGGTTTGGGTTAGTAAGAACAAGACAAGACTCTAAGCCTCTTCCATGTTGTAAAAGCTGCACATGGCAGCAAATGAAGCCAATTATGATGATGCACTTGTTTTGAGGAGGGTGTGTCCACTCATTTCATAATGAGGGTAAGTTGACTTAATGGTAAGTGAAGGTACAAGTTTTCTGTAACTCAGACAGTGATAACCCAGAGACCCTTGTACAAGCATAACTCGAGCCTTCATCTCTCCTGACCCAACCCTGAAGCCGTAGTGGCTGTATGGAAATGCTGTTGTTAGGTGCCATGGGGTAGGTTTTTCAACTCTTGGTGACCCAGTATGACAGAGTAGAACTCCCCGGTAGAGTTTCCCAGGCTGTAGTCTTTACAAGACCAGATTGCCAGGTTTTCCTGCTGTGGAATCACTGAGTGTGTTGAACTAGTAACTATGCATTAAATAGCCCTGAACTGCTAGTCTTCCCAAAATAATAATAATGAGCACTTCCAAGACTAGTTCAGTCCCCAAAGAGTAAACATAATGCACTAGTGGTAAGAATCTATGCTGCCATCCCGAACAGACCTACCAGCTGCTCCATAGGAGAAGGAAGAGCATTCTCCTCCTCTGTGAATAACTGCCTCTGAAAACCCACTGGAGAGTCAGCAATGATTGCTTCTGACTTGATGGTACACAACAACAGAAGCATGGGTTATCAGTTTTTGTTGCAAACCAAGTAATAATGAGACAGACAACCAAGAATGAGGTAAGAGAGAGTAAAGACAGGGGGCCCAGCAGTCCTGATGACTAAAGCACCCAAGCCTCTCTGCATTTATTGAGAATTATCAGGAAGGTAAACAAAAAATAATCACAAGGGAGTAGAAAATAAAAATAAAGATCGTGGGGAGGGCTTTTGCAGATAAGGCAGAGTTCTTCTCTATTGTTTACCTTATGCGCAGGAGGGAGGGATTCAGTAAATAGAAACTTAAGAACTGTTATTGTTGTTGTTGTTGTTGTTGTTGTTGTTGTTATGTGCCATCTAGTCCTTTGTGACTCATAGCGACCCTATGTACAACAGCCCTAAACCCTGCTCTATCCTGTGCCAATCGCACTGCCTCTGACACACCCATCCCGATTACCCCAGTCACCGAATCAATCCACCTCATAGAGGGTCTTCCCCTTCTGCACCATCCCTTCACCCTCCCAACCATGATGTCCCTCTCCAAGGACTGGTCCCTCCTTACAACATGTCCAAAGTATGTCAGACGAAGCCCCAGAATCCTCGCCTCCAAGGAGCCGCCCTTTTTAACCCTTTCCAGGATGAGTCTGTTTGTTTTCTTGGCAGTCCATGGTACATTCAATATTCTTCTCCAGCACCACAGCTCAAAGGCACCAATTCTTCTATCCTCTGTAGTCATTGTCCAACTCCCTGATGCATAACAAGTGATAGCGAAGACCATGGCCTGTGTCAGACGCACCTTAGTCTCCAGAATGACACCATTGCTCTTCAATACCCTGGAGAGGTCCCTAAACAGCAGACTTTCCCATCGCAATACGTTTTTTGATTTCCTGGCTACTGGTGCCAAGAGTGTTGACCATGAAGCCAAACAGACCAAAGTTGTTAACAATCTCAATCTCTTCATCCATCCTGATGCTGCCAACTGGTCCAGTGGTAAGAATCTTTGTCTTCTTGACATTGAGCCTCAATCCATTCTGAAGGCTGCAGTCTTTGACCCTCTGCAGCAAGCATTTCAGGTCCTCCTCAGTTTCAGCAAGTAGGGTTGTGTCATCTGCATAACGCAGATTGTTGATAGATCTTCCACCAATCCTGATGCCACACTTCTCATAGAGCCCAGGCTCTCAGAGAATCTGTTCTGCATACAGGTTGAAAAGGTATGGAGATAGGACACATCCCTGGCGTACACCTTTCCCAATTTTGAACCATGCAGTGTTTCCCTGCTCTGTTCTGACGACTGCCTCTTGGTCCAAGTATAGGTTTCGCATTAGCACAATGAAGTGTTCTGTGATTCCCATTCTTCTCAGAGTCAGCCACAATTTGTTATGATCCACACAGTCAAATGCCTTTGCATAATCTAAGAACTAGTAGAGTCTTAAGGAATGCCTTAGTGCCTCAGGGTGAACTCCAACTTATATTACACCTCCCTTATATCCTGATACAGCATTTGGTTTATTATTAATATTAAATTTTATATTCACCTTCCCCCAAGTTTTTCTAGCTAGCAAGTTATTTAAACATTCACTCATTCAACACTGAAACGTCCATTCCTAGTTGCAGGAGCCTACGGTATTATATGTCATGCCAAGTGGTAGTGGTGTTGCATGCTATGGCACAGAGCAAAATCAGGAGGATTTGGAAGTACTGCAGTGGGAAGATGAACTGCAGATTCTAATGGAAGAGTTTTAAGAAAGCTTTACTTGGGTGGTGAGCTGTTAAGAAACCCTTCTTGTTTGGTTTTTTAAAAATCCTTATCTTTAATTTTGGACTCTTTTTTTTTTTTTAAGGTTTGCGTAGTTCATGGAGTTTGAATGAGACAGATGTGTGTTTAAATCAGTATTTTACTGTTTACCAAGTATGTTGAAAAATTGTTTAAGCTGCCTGTGCCTCATTTTCTCCTTCTGTGAAATGGAGTAATAATACTTAATAAGCTGCTAAAAGAGTTTAATAAGAATATGATATAAAGCTCTTAGCCTGTGGTCTGGCTTTAATAAAAAAGTGAAGCAGGTTAATACTGATGTACAGAATATCATACACTAAGGAAGCTAGTTTACTTTTTCTTTTGTCTTTAATAATGCTGTTAGTCTGATCCCGTTAACCGTAGTTTGGGTTTCTTTCCCTCCAAAATTTAATGTCAATGCTATTTTTGCCAACAAGAATGCAGTAGTAATCATTTTCTTAACTAACCGAATGTGGTAAAAGACACTTCCTTTTTTACCCCCCCTCTTAACTTGTTCTCAGGATTGGGGTAAAAGTTTACAGAGCAAATTAGTTATAATTCAACAATTCATACAGCTTTTGTTTTGATTGCAATCCTCACAATGTAACTCAAACTTCCTGTTCCCTCCCTGTGTTTCCTGTTTTCATTGGCCTTCTTTCTATGCCTTTCTGCCTTCCATCTCTATCCCTGGGCAGATGTTGCCCTCTTGATCTCAGGTGGTTGATTATTTCCTGGTGTTACCATTCACCTTGTAGTTCCATTGTTTTTTAGTTGATTCTAACTCATGGCAACTCTTCATTTGGTTTCTGAGGCTGTGAATCTTCCAGGGAGTAAACAGCCTTCTCTTTTTCCCTCAAGAATAGTTGGTGGACCCAGATCTCTCATCTTTCAGTTAGGAGCCCAACACTTAACCCACTAATGCCACCAGGATTCCTTGTTCACATTACACTTTACAGACCTAGCTATTGTTTGGTTAAAAAACAACTGTAAGACTTCAATTAAATTTTTCAGTACTAATAGCTCTTGACTCAGTAGGATTGCTGTCTGTCTTTTTGAATCCATATACCCAGCCTCTGCCATAGCAAACCTACCACCATCTAGTCGATTTCTAACGCATGGTGATCCCCTAAGACAGAGTAGCGCTCCTTGGGGTTTCTGAGGCTGTAAATCTTTAAGGGAACTGACTTACCTTTTGAGGAGTGCTTGGTAATTTCAAACTGCTTGCATGCCCAGTGCTTACCACCAGAGCTGCTCGTGTTCAGACTCAGAGGGGCATAAGGTAAAAAAAAATGTTTCTTAAGCAACACACTGTAGGAAACAAATCAGAAGTTTTAAGTGT